CTCCGTGGCCTTCTTTTGTTCTTCCTTGACCCTGTACATCTCCAAAATCTCGCGAGCGTTGATGAGTGCTGCCTGAGCCTTCTCCTCGATACTCGATGAGACGTAGGACAAGGGTAGCTCACCAACGGAGTTGGCAGGGAACTCCACACCGATCAAATATGCCATCAGAGCAGCAATATCAGCTTGCGCCACGTCGTGTCTCTTGATCTCATCAAGATGCCAGTCAGAAGAGTACTCGTCGTGCCCAGGAGCAACAGAATCGAAGGAAAGCACCGGCGAGGCAATGCCAGATCCCCAGGTGATCAAGGGGGTGCGAGTGTTATTAGGATGGCCATCGCCGTGGCTGCCCCAGTCACTCATGCCATGGTCGGCAGTGAAGACGAAAGCGGTCCGGTCATCGGCGTAGAAGTTCCCGATCATTTCTGTAATTTCCTTGACACCTTGGTCTACAACTTTGATATTATGCAAGTATTCCTTCGAGTAGGGACGGTACGAGTGTCCATTGGTATCCAGGCCGAGCAGATGGAGGAAAAAGACGACTTTGTCTTGGCGCAAAGCGGCATCAAGAGTGTCGTTCTTGGCTGCATCGGCGAAAAGCTCCTTGACGTGGTCAAAGACCCAGAAGTCCAATTGCAACGCATCTTGGCTGAAATCCTCAAACTCGTGTCCGTATGTGTAGGAATCGACGCGGCCGGGGACGGCGCCCTGTTCGAACATTGGCAAAATATCGGGGGATCCCCAACTCCAGGTATGACGGCTTCGGTTGAAGACGCTGTCGAAGTTTACGGGGTTGAGCTTCCAGCCAGTCGCCACGGCCGAGACATCTTCATAAAGACCGGCGATGAGCGCAACATGGCCAGGGCGAGATTCAGTCGGCACGCGCGTGTGTGACACTCCAAAGGTGCCATGTTCAAGAACGCGGGATCGTAGGAAAGGGGCGAGGGGTCGCGGGGTTAAGTCATCCTCAGATTCGGGGTAGGGGTCGGGAAAGGACTGGAAAGCCTTGTCTGCTCGTAAACCGTCACCTGGAAGAGAATGTTAGCATCTTGCACCAGCTACTCCATGGTATTTGAGAAGGTGGGCGAGCTCATACCCACGAAAAGAACCAGACGGTCTGCAGGGGCTTTGGAGTTTTCGGGTCGTTCGATTTGAACAAGCTTCATGCCCGAAACAATAGGACTGACGAAGTAAATGTCAAAAATCGAATATATATAGACGAGGTGAAAGATGACAGCGACGGCTAGAAAGCCGGCGCGCGAGGAGACTGCCATCACAGACGAAGGGGTGATGAAGCAACGTCTTCTCTTTGGTGGGTTGTGTCTCTTGCGATGTCTGTCTTCTCCTGTGGGCTTAAAGGAGTGGGAGTAGCTCAATCGACGATGATCTGGGGTATGGCACGCCCAGAGTGGGTAACAGGCGGGTGAATCCACTCGCTCAGCGCCAGAGTCGATTGGTCTCGTGGATGACGGATCAAAAGAATGAAGGGGAAATGTTCGAGAGCTCTACGAAAGAGAGGGAAAGCGCAGTCATTTCACGGCTCGCGCATTGCTCCTATAAGAAATGATATAATACAATGATGTTGATGCGCAACGCTGGACTTTATTCATAGAAAATGAGAACCCAGCCGTCCCGTCTAGCTCAATGTATGTAATCGCTTTCCACTCCAGGGTTGACAGTCGTCCCGCTTGTTGCATCGACGCGGAAATTATTGGTTTTCGCGACACGTCTCCCACCCCCGAACTGACGACGTGTAGGGATGACGGACCCACATTGACATCTAGCCCCATGCCGTGGAGCGGGAACGGCTGTGTGCATGTAGCGGGGCTTTTACAGCTTCCATCCTGGATACAACACTGCGAAGTTCCTTAGCTTAGCCCAGGGGCAGTGTCTGCGACTTTGAAGACACCTTACTAATTATTGCCTGCCTGGTAGTAGCAGCATAACACGATTGGAAGTGCCTGGTCTTACCCACGTGTCTACATCATTGTCAAAACCATGGCTAGACACAGATATATTCAGACATGTATGCAATTTGAAGAATTCCTGTTAGTCACCCCCTCTATTGAGCATTGCAACTTTCCGTATTGCTAAAAGCGGATTTCACATGACCATTGAGGTGTAATTTGCTACCGGGACATCAAGGTATGCACCCTCTTACAGGCCAGTCAACTGGTAACTACCAAGCTGCTTTCCTTGAGAACCTCTTTGGATAAGGTACGGAAACCCTGCTGGGAAATCACAAGAACAGCTCTTGGCTTTTGATGTTCCATATTCATAAGCCGGCAAGGAGACAACAAACTCCGCGAATCGGGGCTGGACCAGTTGATTGACACACTATCTACTGAGCTATTCCGCCTCGGCCTCAATGTATCCGCCAAAGCCAAAATTCTCAGCAGATTTGGGCGGCATTTGCACGTCCCGAAATCACACGCGAGAAATCAACACCGTCTCTAAGGGGTATAATATCGAACAACTTCAAAGGCTTCCCGCCCACCCGTCTCATCTAGCTTCTGACCACCAGAACAGTCCTTACATCAGGCCCATTAGTCCAGCCGCTCCGTCAGAGACTTGATGACACGCGCGTAAAACTTTGCCGCATGTGGCCGAGGGAATTCGATCTCTTCAACAAGGAAGTCAGGCAGCATGTCGATGAGTTCGCGATCTCTGTTAGAGTCCAATTGTGGCTTGTACGTGAAATGAGCCTCCTCGTAATTCTCGCCGGAGCTCTCGTTCTCGACTTCAAGTTTGAAGTGAAGGGCTGCGGAAGTCAATATGATGAGATAACTGTTGGTAAAGACGATGACTTACTGCCGTTTCTCCCCGTTTGTATGCAATCAAAGACCTGGCCCGCCGAGTCACGTTTGGTGACTCTGACAATCAAGCCGGTTAAATCCCCATAAAGATCCTCTTTCAATTGTCCCGTTTGCACAACATCCGCGCTAGCGATGGCTCTGGCAGCTGCGCTTGAACCCTTGACGGCGCTCCCAGGTATGACCTTGGCACTAGCTGCAGCTTCAGCAGACCTGCTCGCGGCTAGGCGCGTCGTCAGGGTCTTGATTTCCTGCTTTGCGTCGGCTAGGGAAGTCGTCAGAGCTGACACCTTTGCCTCCATTTCTTCCAGTTGCTTTTTGCGTTGTTGCCCTTCTTTGGCCAAGCTACGTTGCTCTGCAAGGTCGGCCTTGAGATGCGCAATGAGTTCGTTCGCAGCTTCATCCTATTAGCAATGTGCTACCCCTACAATTGGCATTTGGTACTCACTTTTGGCTCTTTCTTCACTCTCCTTTTTGAGATTATCAAAGTTGCGTTCTGCCGCCTTGACCCCAATGTCCCGAAGATCGCGATATTTCGCTTCCAGGTTATCGTACTTTCTGATTGTGTCGCCCAAGCGCCTCCGGATTTGCACATCACTAGCATCCAAGTCTGGATTACCGCTTGTCCGATTAAGGCGATGCGTTGACGGCTTTGGCACCGGTAGCTCATCGAATTGGTCATCACCTTCCGTATCGACGTCCATATCATCTTGAGCCTGCGTCTCTGGAATTTCAGATTCATCACTCCGGGTGGCCTTTGCTCCTGCACCACGCCCTCGCTTAGTCGACTTTGCGGTATCCTTCGTAGTAGAACTCGGCACTCCTTTCGGTGTGTCGGTAGTCGTCGCTATCGTAGCTGCTGCCTTCGGTCGCCCTCTCGTCTTTGCTGTAGTCGCCTTCACCGCCGGAGCAGTGTCCTCTTCTGATTCGGCCATACTGTCGACATTCGACGCATTATTCACCTCGTCCTCGTCCTCAACATCCTCCTCTTGGATCTCGACCTTCTCGGCAGCCTTACGGCCTCGCTTCGAAACCTTGCCGCTCGCCTTGCTCGACATGTCGTTGATGGCCTCTTCTCCAGCTTTGCTAATCGCCGCTGCAAGTTTCCCAGCCGCGCGACCCTTTGTAGCCTTCTGGGCAGGCTTTGCGACTTTGTTGGCAGCTGGTGGCCTGCCCCTGGCCTTCTTCGCCGGCGACATCTTAATTGGGTTCGAGGTAATGATCTTAGCGCTGGGAGAGGAGGTCGTCAAAATCTGTGTTCCAGTCTGATTCAGATAAAAGCGCAGTACGCGATATTTACACCACTAGTTGGATCGGAGGCTGATGCAAATAGGCAGGGTGTACCGGCGCAGCACAAACGCCGCCAGGATAGCCAACGCGCCCGAGAGAAACGTTTCGTGTCGTGCGGGAGGGGTTCGTGGACTATCGGCTCGGAGGAAGTTGGCGTGTATTGAGAATATCGAATAACATTGGTTTTGCACTTAGACTGAGGTGATCGATGTCAGACGGATGCGTTGGTCATGATAGCAGGGTCAAAATACCAAGGTTGTAGCTGAGGGGCAAGCGCAAGTGAGGAACTACAACTTGCGATAAAAAAGTAAACAAAGCCGCGGTGCGACAGCCACCGAATTGGTACCTCACCTTCGGTGCTCCTAGGCGACCTTAGGCGGGCCGCGGCAAGGTGCTCAACTCACCTAGGGGGACATACTTATCCCGGTACCTGACCACTACCTTGCCCAAGGTAGGTACCTAAGGTACCTAGCTTATCGGCTTATCTAGGAAGGCTAAGGTGGGTAAGGTGAGGTAGGTAAGGTTCCTTACCTTAGGTAAGAGTCAAGACACCTCAGTGCAATTTCGCATGTGGCGGTGCGCTCTCCAGCGGAGCACAGCGAAATGTGGCTTGAAAATTTACTGGCTACCCTTGTGAACCGCGGGTGGCGTTGTCGGCTCGATTCAATTCTCTGGGGCGTTGGACACGTCTATTTCGTTGCCGGCTATAATACTCTATCCCGTCGCTTGGACACGCTCTTGCCGAACCACCGAGAGTGAGAAAGGATCTCTTCCCGCTCACGATTCCGACGATACTTGCCTTAGAACACATTCCAACAAGCGTCAATAAACCACCGAGAGTTATCAAGCTAGTCCGTTTCGATCGTACCGTGTCGGCCCTCTGCCGCGACGCCAACACTGATGACGGGCGACCTTGACCGTTGGCTGGGTTCCGTCGGAAAGCTTCTCGGCATGGGTGACCGAAAGAAGGGCCTGGGCGATTTCGCTCTGGACTTGCTGTTGGTTGCTGGTATGGTGGGTAGACAGCTTCATCAGAAGCACATGTTTGGTTCCGAATGTTAACCGCACTCTAGATGGCAACCGGCGTTTACCTCGCAAGAAACTTCCTTTCTTCCCTCACGAATACCCTCGCCGACCCCGATCGAGAGAAACACGAGCAAGCACGGCTACAGGCCAAGGCTCATCTAGAGCGCTTGCGCAAAGGCAAGAATGTAGGGAAACCTGGCGAAGAACCATCAGATGACGGCAGCGTCTCTCGTCGCGGGCCAAAGCCGGAAGAGTTGGTGTTGAATGAATATGAGAACCTCATTGCACTTGAGATGGTGGCTCCAGAGGATATCCCAATCGGCTTCGCTGGTAAGTGCTCTACTGATCTGGTGAATCAGCACCAGGGATATTGCTAACGGCGTATGATAGACATCGGTGGCTTGGAGGACATTATTGATGAACTCAAGGAATCCGTCATTTACCCGTTGACTATGCCGCACTTGTATTCCCACGCGGCGCCACTGCTATCTGCACCCTCTGGTGTGCTGCTTTATGGCCCTCCAGGATGCGGTAAAACTATGCTGGCTAAGGCAGTCGCCCACGAGAGCGGTGCTTCCTTCATCAACCTCCATATTTCGACAGTGACAGAGAAATGGTACGGTGACTCGAACAAGCTGGTCCGAGCTGTGTTTTCGTTGGCTCGCAAAATGCAGCCCGCCATCATCTTCATTGATGAGATCGACGCGGTCTTGGGCACAAGAAGGAGCGGCGAGCACGAGGCCAGCGGAATGGTCAAGGCTGAGTAAGTTCTGAATCAGAAATCCTATCGTTTCCCGTCACTAATAATTCAGGTTCATGACCCTGTGGGATGGATTGACGTCGTCAAATTCTTCAGGCATGCCAGCAAGGATCGTCGTTCTCGGTGCCACCAACAGAATACACGACATCGATGAGGCTATTCTCAGGCGAATGCCCAAGAAATTCCCGGTGTCTCTTCCTGGCAAGGAGCAGCGACAACGGATCTTGCAGCTCATTCTGAAGGATACAAAGACAGACCCCGAGTTCAGTGTGGAGTATATTACCAAAGTCACAGCTGGCATGTCAGGCAGCGATATCAAAGAAGCATGCCGTGATGCTGCTATGGCACCGGTCCGTGAATACATGCGAGAGCATCGGGCGAGCGGGAACTCCATGTCGAGCATCACACCAGAGAACTTCAGAGGTATCCGTACAGAGGATTTCTTTGGTCGCAAGGGTGGAGGTCAAATCTTGATGGATAACCATGCAAAACACTCCAAGGCGTCGAGGTCATCGGCAGACGAGTACGAAGATATTGTTGAAGAGCTGGGTTGATTTGGCCAGAAACTTGGATTGTATGAAAGGAAATGAAAGACGCGGCAGAGGTCTGCTCTGAAAGGGTAGTGCTCTTTTACTCGATATGTCGGGAACAACCATACAACATGATTGCCTACAAGTGGGCAACTTACGCAAACCATGCTAGAATGAGACGATTGTACAAAGAAATGTACCGATACAAGGAGGAAACGAATACTGAAATACCATCATTTTACGTGAGAGAACTTGCCAATTTTAAGCGTTGGTCGCCCTACCAGCAGCGGCTTAGGTTCCCTATTTTGTAAACCAAGGCTGCAACGACTTTTGATTTGAATTGTCCATTACCTCAGTATTGTTGAGAAGACGCCATAGCCCTAAGGTGAGAACTAGGCCAGGCACACAGGCATGCCGCATCAGAGCAAATTCAGGTACAGACGGCAGTCAGATGTGTCAAGCATGTTGCGCCGACGTTGGTTTGTTACCATCCAGGCGCGCCAGCGCAGTGTGCCAATTTCAACGCCGCGCCTTTTCCCCAGCCAACATTCCACTCGGACCACTACCGTGTCGCCCCCGCCGTTTCCAGGGTTCATGCCGCCCCGCCATCGCCGACTTTCGGGGCACGCTGTGCACACCGACAAATCACGTCATCGGCAAGGGCCCACACCTTGGGTCGTCCAGTGCTGTTGGAGTCACACGCTCCGTCCCCCAAAAGCCCGCCGTCGGCCCTCACTTAACGTCCCTGTAAAACTTCTCCTGTACACACCTGCAAGCTTCTATCAGCTCTCTCAACCTTCTCGTCAATTGCCTCTGCTTTTCAATCGAGTACGCCGGTGCTGCGTTTGGACAATTGATTTGCTGAGCAATTCAGTCTGTCCGCGGCGACAAGTCTGGCTCTTAAAGGAGACCAGCGGTAGTACTGTACTCGATCCCGAACGCCTCCCGGACCTTCCTATCCTTCCTTCGTCCTATCGTCCCTCTCGACCATCAAGTGCGACGACATACAGGCATCGACTGGCCAAGATCCATTTGTCGAATCGCTCAATCCAAGAAAAACTCGTTCAATTGCCGCTGTCAACCAGATCAGCCGGCAGCTCCTTGATACTAGTGCTACCCCGCCATTGCTACATACGCTTTGTCTCACTATGTCTACACCGCCTAACAACGGAGCGGCATCTAAGTCCAGCGACCCCCTCAAACGGGTGGACCTTGACGGACACGATCTTCCTCCTTCTCCCGCGCCGTCTAGTCCTCGCAACGGTCGTCGTCGCTATGCCCTCGCCACGGAGCTGGTCTACACTGACAGCAACGACCAGTATGGCGCATCCAGCATCCCCATCTACCAGTCCGCCACCTTCAAGCAGACCAGTGCCACTGGTGGTGGGGAGTACGACTACACCAGGTCCGGCAACCCGACTCGCACTCATCTTGAGCGCCACCTGGCCAAGATCATGAATGCCACGAGGGCTCTGGCTGTCGGCTCCGGCATGGGTGCTTTGGATGTCATTTCCCGCTTGTTGCGCCCCGGCGATGAGGTGATCACCGGCGATGACTTGTACGGAGGCACCAACCGCCTTCTCACTTACTTGGCTTCCAACCAGGGTATTGTTGTTCACCATGTGGACACTACCAATGTGGAGAACATTCGTCCTGTCATCTCTGAAAAGACGGCCATGGTTCTGCTGGAGACCCCGACGAACCCTCTTATCAAGGTCGTCGACATCCCCTCCATTGCTAAGCTTGTTCACGAGGCCAACGATAAGGCTTTGGTTGTCGTGGACAACACCATGCTCTCGCCAATGCTCCTGAACCCCCTGGATATTGGTGCAGACATCGTATACGAGTCCGGAACAAAGTATTTGTCTGGACACCACGACATCATGGCTGGTGTAATTGGTGTCAACGATACCGAGATTGGCAACAAGCTGTACTTCACCATCAACTCCACTGGGTGCGGCCTGTCGCCTAATGACTCTTTCTTGCTTATGAGAGGCATCAAGACACTTGCTATCCGCATGGAGAAGCAGCAGGCCAACGCTCAGCAGATTGCTGAGTTCCTTGAGTCCCATGGTTTCAAGGTCCGATACCCGGGACTCAAGTCGCACCCCCAATACGACCTGCACTGGTCTATGGCACGAGGTGCAGGTGCTGTTTTGTCGTTCGAGACCGGCGACGCGGCGCTTTCGGAGAGAATCGTCGAAGCCGCTAAGCTGTATAGTATCAGCGTTAGCTTCGGCTGTGTAAACAGCCTTATCAGTATGCCCTGCCAGATGAGCCACGCCAGCATCGACGCCAAGACCCGGAAGGAGAGGCAGATGCCGGAAGACCTCATTCGCTTGTGCGTGGGCATCGAGGACGCAACGGACTTGATTGAAGACCTCTCGCGAGCTGTAAGTGCTGTCAACTAGATTCGCCCCTAAGGCACCAATACTGACTTCTGTCGTAGCTTGTTCAGGCCGGTGCGGTCAACGTGACCTTGGACGGGTTTCACGCGACTGAGGCTGTCCAGCAGGCTTGAGGGACTCCTTGTAGAGGCTGGAGCTTGAGTACCGAGGCCTGGGTTGATTGGGTCAAAGAGAAGTCAACCGCACGCGTAGTGAGTGAGTGGAAGAAAATCCACCTTCGGAACACAGCGGCGTTGGGGCTTGGTACGCTCGATATGCGTTGGAAAATCAAAAAAGAAAAGGGGGGTAACGAAAAGCGTGAATAGCTTAGAGAATTCGACTACTTCTTGTCGACCTGACCTACCCGGAAACGGAATCGTTCCTTTGCCGCACCTTGTATGTTTCGCAAGTTTTGACAGCGAATGCGTCCATCTGACCAGATGAGGCGTTGCGGTTTCTGACTCCGTTAAATGTGCTCATGGCGCTGGAAGTAAACAGACCAGCATCATACCAACGGCTCATGTATAAAGTAACGGAGTAGTACAATGCCATTCAACTAACTATTCACTATTGCCTCTTAAACTATGCAACCCAAAATCGTTCCGCTCTGACAAGACTGAGAAACTACACAATGCTATTTGTACGATATCTAGGAAAAGTCGAAGCGGTCTGGGAGGACGACTGGAGCTACCAGCGTCCAAGCATACATGGCGTAGCAAACCCAAGCGCTTACAATCTTCACCCAGCTGGCCCAGTACGACCGGCCGACAGGAGCAAAGTTGCCATCGGCATTTTGGTCGTCGTAGCTCTGGGTTAGCAACGTCGCGATCCACGCCGTGGCTAAGAAGAAGATGATGTGGAAGACGGTATAGCTGTACTGCGTCTGTGAGCGCTCATCGTCACCGTGGACACGACTGCCGCCAGCCTCGCTCTCGTCGTCGGACAAGAGAGCGTCCGCCGGCAAGCTTCCCTCCTCAACGGCACGACGTAATGCCTCCGCCCGCATCTGTTTTTGGGCGCTGGGCTGGTGAGTGACGAGATCGTGCTCATCTTCCTCTGGGAGACGGATGCCGCCGGAAGAACCAAGTCCAAGGCTCTGAGTCGCCGCCCGTGTCGTAGTGTACGCAATTGTGAGCATGGTGACGACGGCGCCAATCACAACGGATGTGGTGCGAGTTCCCTGAGCGCGAATCAGGGGGTTGCATTGCTTGTCATCGGGTTCCATCGAAACAGCGGACATGGTAAGGTAGGTGCAGTATACGGCGACCATGGCACCCTGAGCAAGACCAGCCTTGGGGTTGTATTCCTGAATGGTGGGATGGACCGAGATGAAAGAAATTCCAATCCACAGCAGGAGGTTGATCGTAATCGCTGCTTGGTTCATGGAGCAACCGGATCCGGCGAAGAAGATGTACTGGACGATGGTCATGGCGAGTGAAGCAAGATACATGCCCAATGTAGAGCCGATGAGAACTGTCCGCCAAACCTTGGAGTCGGTTTCCTCAATCTGCTCAAGACAATACTCAGCCCAGTTATGGGCGAGATCAACAAGCAAGATAAGGCCGAGGATGAGGAACAACATGCCGCCGAATCGGGCAATATAGGCGCCGTAGAACTGGAAGAATTCGTCGGGAATCAGGAAGGAGAGAACGATGAAGGCAAGCCACACAATGACTTTGGGTCCCCAGTAGCCATTCTGAATAGCGGCGCGAGGGTTCTTGGAAGATGTTACACCGAACAGAAGCCCGGCGAGTATGAGATGGAAGAGACCGAGAGCGAAGTTGAAGCGGTGGACCGCCATCCACCCGTAGCATTGGCCGTTGGGACAGTCGATTTTGACGTAGTCGAGCATAAGGTGTTCCAGCTTCTTGATAGCCCACGGGGTGAGCATGATCCACGACAGGATCGAGTTGACGAGAAGCATGACTGCGTAGCCGATACGGGTGGCGACACTACAATGAAGTCAGTACCGAGAGTGGTGTGTTCACGGGGTGGAGGAAGAATTACCTGTTGCCGCACTTCCCACAGGCGCTGCAGACTGCAGAGCAAGTTGCCGCACCGCAGCAACTGGCAGCGAAGCCGATGAGCTGTAAAGTATTAGCTTGTGAAGTGAAGATAGGCTCTACAAGCCGTAGAGAAAGGAATGGGAGGGGACTCGTCGTACCGTGCCCATGCTCGGCACCGCCATCAGCGGCAACGAAAGCAAAGCACCCATGGCGCCGGTTTCCTACGGTATGTACTATCGATCTAAAGGGTACAAATGTCGGTTCGGCGAGGGTCGCGCTGGAAAGATGGAGGTGTCGCGTCGTTGATGTCTTTGCGAGATGCCTTACGTCGGCGCGGCGCAGTATGGATTAGGTAGAGAGGTAGCTTGGAGGCCGGACCTACGTACCTTTGGTAACGAGCCACAAAGGGTGGGACCATCTGTGGAGGCTGGGATACACGTGAGATTACGTAGTCTCTACTGTGGCTCCCCACCCGGATCCGAACCCCGGATTCCAAAACTCTCCGCCGAAGTCGGCCATCCACTATCGGCAATTCTGCACCGATTCCCGACATATTTCGTCTACCTGGCACCGAGTGAAGTGAAGCTACTTACACCTGCCTTTCCTGCTCAACCTCAGTTACCTTATCGCGACGATCCCGACGCGGACATCTGAGAAGCCGCTGGCTAGCCCTACCATATCACCCATTATTCGCTATCCAAGCAGCCTCAAATGCAAGCTTCTCGTTTGGAAACCAGCCCGCTCATCGTTCAAATCAATGATTTGCTGCCTCAACCAGAAACTATCTCGTCTTACCCGGTACACTTGCGTACCTAAATTTTACCTTTGATTTGCGATCCGGATCTTCCTCAGACTGAACCGCTTACTATATCCACCCGAGTGTACCATGGCCCATAGAACGAGGACAATATTCCCAAACAGTAAGAAGACAACACTGTGAAGCTGCAGATGGCCTGTCGCAAGGGGAGCGGGGTTGCTACATACATTCGACGTGGTCGTGCTGTATTGCGTGCGACAATCCCCATCGGTGGAGTCCACACTTAATGTCTGATTCGTTGTATATGGTGCAAGTCAGTGTTGCGCAACCCGAAAATCATCCATCTTGTCCCAGTCATACTACCCACACATCAAAACGTCCTACGTGGAATGGACCTAGCTGTACTTGGCTTTGAGAACTTCGACAGTCGAAATGGCAACTAGACTCTCTATTCACTTGCTGGTTCCGAACCGACCTCGTGGATTCACCTGCAGTGGCCTCACTACTCCAGGTCTCAGGCCGGTGGAGGGCGAAGTGATACTCACCAGAACTGTATTCTCTACTAGCGTAGCGTCTATGATGTCTTACAAAAAGATCAAGTGACTGAGCGTTCCCCATGTGTCGCGCGAACTATTACAGCGCCGAGGAAGAACAGGCGACCATGTTCGGCTGACTTATTCAAAATTGCCGACATTGACACAAAACCCGCTGAGACAATCAGCCCAACTGACCAGGCACACACACATTGGTAATATACTGTTGATTCAAGCAGGCAGGCATGATGAAGGGCGGCGGCGCATGGGTTTCCATATTCCAGCCGCGCAGTTGACACATGCACGCGCCACCACCCTTCCCTGCCGCGCCTGAAAGGAAGTTAGGGAAACAGAAACGCAGCGCACTCGTGGCACTCCAGCGGCAGGCCAAGATGCCGAGGAGGACAGAAGTACCGGGTACGAGACCCTTTACGTAGCCAATATGTAATACGCACAGCGTCATTGGTACTCGTTACGTAGTGTATTTGTCTTCTCGGCAGGGCACTTACGGCATCTTACGGCATTGCAGCTTAGCCTTCAGGGGCATCCTCCAGGGCTCCGAATCCCTACCTTATTCCCCATTACCTTCCCAGTTGAAGTGCATGCGCGGCCCCAAAAGAATGGATTCGTGATTCCTGCCCGTAGATAAGGGATCCGATCCGGCATCGTTCCCGTTTCGTTTTCCGACTCAACGAAGCTTCCCGCTGCCCCTCGACAACCTCTATCCTTCCTTTTCCCCTTACCTCACTGTGCGTCCTTCCTACCATTCCGATTCCTCTAGTCTTAAGACAACGCCCAAGTCTTCATGTCGCATGCTACTGGCTTCGTCAATATCGATATGAACACTGCTCCTCCGATAGTACACTAAAACACCAAAACACCTACCATAACCCCAACCGTCGCAAAAGGCCCTCCCCTCTCCCCGACTCTTCGCCGTCATCGGTGCCGATTATCGCTGCCGCCCCTCGCTGACGAGCAATCTTCCTTCCGCCACAAACCGGCCGAAGCATGATATCTTGAGAACATCATTTCATCGTCGCCCAGTCTGCAGAAGCAATGTCAGGTCCACGGGAGAAAGAGCTGCACCGCGCTCGGCTGGTTGCCAGCGTTGCAGCCACGGTCATTTCTCTAGCATGCGGTACCAACGTGAGTTGGCGCGATCGGATCACATCCCTGCCAGACCTATCGTCACTCTCAACGTGAATCATGAGCTGATATGTCCCTGCTTTACAGTACGTTTACTCGGCATGGTCCCCTCAATTCGCCGAGCGATTGAAGCTCTCCTCGACCGAAACGAATCTCATTGGCCTTTCCGCCAACCTGGGAATGTACTCTTTGGGCGTTCCTGTCGGCATGCTCGTTGATCACAAAGGACCTCGCTCCGCCGTCATTATTGGCTCCGTCCTGCTCGCCCTCGGATACTTCCCATTCCACATCGCCTACGATCGCGCGGCTGGCCCCGTGCCGCTTCTCTGCTTCTTTTCATACCTGTCTGGCCTCGGCGGGTGTCTGGCTTTCGCCGCCTCTGTTAAGACATCCGCTCTCAATTGGCCTCATCATCGGGGGACTGCCACCGCTTTCCCCTTGGCTGCTTTTGGTCTGAGTGCCTTCTTCTTTTCGACGTTTGGGAGTCTATTCTTCCCCGGGAACACCAGCGCCTTCCTGGCCTTACTGTCCATCGGGACCTGTGGTTTAACCTTCTTCGGTTTCTTCTTCCTGCGCGTCTATCCTCATGCCACCTATCACAGTCTGCCAGCAAGCGATGGTCTTTCCGGCTCGCAACAGCTTCGACGCACTTCTTCGGAAGAGGCCAAGCCTAACCGACCCGGCTATGGGCA